CTACGTGGTAGTTAAGGAAGGATGTAGGTTGTATCAGAATTAAGAATGTTCCGCATGCAGATTTGTAACTGCATAATTTGAAGTATAATTAATTATTATTTGCAGTTAATTTATTTTGACTTCAACGTTTACATAGATAAGGTCGAATAAATGTCAGGTACTTATGAAAATGAACATAAGTATCTTTCCTAGACACACATACATCACAACTTTACAGTCTGATAGCTCAAGAGATTCCAGATTGAGATGCAAATTCTGAGCACTCCATTTGGAAGCTGGAAGCCTACTTTCTCAAGTGGTATAGGCTCCTAGTTTTGTACTTTAAGGGTGGGAGACTTGGACTTTAAATTAAACCTTTCAGTAGGGTACAACTAAATGTTGCCCACTGCAGGCCTTCAGTCTGTGTAATCCTCAGAAGGTAAATTGGTGGTGAAAGGAGGACACCTCTATCTGTTTGTTGGGTTAGGAAAGAGATGGCTAATACTTTGGAGGTAATTTAGACTGAACCTTTTTAGACTGCTCAGGAAGTTGGAATATCATTCTGGAAGGGACTTGCTGCTGAGTGGAGTGCTGGTAAGTTAGTCAGAGATGCATGATACATGGCAAATCCATGTGACTGTGACAGAGTGCTTGGCATGCACCTGTCAATTTAAGAGGAGGCTGAGGGAGAACAAGCTTGCCGATGTGACAAGGGCCAATTAAGGAGACAGCTGATGAGAAGGGGGCTGGGCTTAAGCCATATAAATCCAGGGCCTGAGCTGGTCTGGCAGTTTAGCCCTGGAAGCCAGCAAGAGAGGAGGTCCTGGCAGCAGGGCTTCTAGCAAAACAGCTGAACTGGGGTAAGCAGCAGAGAGCCCGGGAACAGGGTGGAGAGGCCCAGAGGTTTGGGAGCAAGGCCAGAGCCCGGAAACAGCCCAGGCCTAGGAACAAATAGGCCTGGAAACAGGTGGGTGAGCCCATAGCTTGGAGAGGGGCAGCAGAGAGTGGAGGGTCAGGATGCCCAAAGCCCAGTTAGCGAATAGAGCAGAGCCCATAGAAGGGCAGAATGTGGGGCCCAGAGAGCAGCGTGTGTCCGCAGGGCCGGAGAGCCCAGGGGTCTGGAGCTCCAAAAGGAGAGAGCATAGTAGGGCCAAGGGAGCCCAAAGGTCTCAGCTGGCCTAGGAGCGGGGGCAGGAGTGGGCAAATTCCAGTCCATGGGTTGGATTGGGCCCACCATGTACTCCATTTCCCAGCAGCCCCTGCCCACGCTGCTCCAGCTGGTTTCCTTGGAGACCCCAGGAGTGGTGGGGCTGTGACAGTGTGGCCCTAGGGTCTCCATGGAGACTGGGCCGAGCAGTGCTGGCAGAGCATGTGGCTGGGCGGGGAGCTGCTCCAGGGCCAGGGCTGGGATCTTGCAGCAGTGACAGCATGGGCCAGAGCCAAGGCAGAGATGTGATCTGCTCCCAGCTCCGGCCCGTGCCGTCACCACGATAAGATCCTGGCCCCGGCCTTGGAGCAGCTCCCCACCCAGCCACGTTCCCTGCCAGCACTGCTCAGGCCAGTCTCTGTTGAGACCCTGTTGCTGCACTGTCATGGCCCTGCTGCTCCTAGAGTCTCCATGGAAACCAAATGGAGCGATACAGGCAGGGGCTGCTGGGAAATGGAGTCCAGCCACCAGCCAGATCTGCCATTATGCCCACCCCTGGTTTTGGGGGACCGAAGGTCAGGGACCACTGCTGGAGACTGCTGGGGCCAGGAAGCCTGGAGGTCTCAACTGGCCTAGGAGTGGGGTCAGGGTCTAGGGAGACCACAGGTCAAGGACCGCAGCCGGAGACCGAGGGGACCAAGGAACCCATAACCTAGGAGGGCCAAGGACTGGGGCTGAGAGTCCATAGTCCAGGAAGGGCATGTGTCAGCATGTCATCTGCAAAGCATTGGTGTGGGTATTGGGGGAGGATGGAGCCCATGTAAATAGCCATTAAGGCAATGACCATGGACACCTGCAATCTTAAAATTGAGATCAGGCTTGGGAAACCCTGGATCAGTCCCCCTTTCCTTAAAAGTTAATAACATCAAGGCTTGGTGGGCAAGTGAAGCGGAGAGTGCATAAAGGGATCCAGGTTGACAAGGGTTGAGCGGCCACTAGGGAGCATTGTGACTACCTTTGGGAGGAGCACTTGCTACAGTGGTAAATTTATTTTTTAGATGAGCATCATTTCCCCGATAGGTAGTATGTGCATGTACATGTGTATAAACCAGCCTGCCTTTTCAGGGATGGTTCTCTATCCTGAATCCATTCACTGCTTTAGTTAACTTGAAAGGATGGTTAAGAAACAAACAAAAAACAATAAAACAAACAGAAAACCCCCTGAGTACTCACTCTGCAGTTTAAACAATGGGTTTAAATCAGGTTGGCAGCATTTTTGGATGAGTGCCAAAAAACCCTGCAACCTGGAATTTAAAGATGTTGGTGTGGAGAAGCTGCGAGCGGCTTAACCCTTGTCATGGCAGTGCAGCCCTGGCCCCTTCCCCACCATGCTCCCCAAGGCACTTGTGCAGCTGCTACCAGCAATGAGCCAGGCCATTGCTCTAGACCCCACAAGCAGCCTCATGGCTGCCTGCTGCAAGCCGCCCAGGCTCTGGCTGGATCACCACCTTCATGCGTAGAGGAAAGGGAGCTTCTCTAGGGGCTGGTTGTCTCCTCTGGAGGGCTCATCCAGGCAACAGCTGCAGGAGCCTTCAGTGTTCCTCCCTCCCTTGATTGCAAGGCATCAACTGAGCAAAGGGGCAAGGCACACAAAAAATGGCATGAGCTGGGGGTGGGGATTTGCAGTCACTTCCCCTCACAGAGTGAAGATTTACAATCCAGAGCCACCATTTAAATTAATGTAACCCCCTCTCTACCTCACCCTACCCCCAGCCCCAAATGCACAGGGGTAGCATGTTACAAGGGAGAGCTGCTGCTGTCATGGGCACTGCAAGGCAGGGAGCATGGGGCATCCCCCCAAGGGAAGCCCATGCAGTGGGCACATAACCCCCCACTGCAGAGAAATGGCAAGGGAGCAAGGCTGGGCTGCACAAATAGCCTGGGCTGCTCATAGCAGGCAGCCACAAACCTGCAAGCGGCTGCACTGGAGTCCAGAGCCCCAGCCCATTTGTTGCTGTCAGTGGCTGCACACACCTTGGAGAATGGTGGGAAGGGGCTGGGACTGCACTTCCCCCGGCCCCTTTCCCACCTGCCATGTGCCCCAAGGTGCACATACAGCCACTATCACCATGGAGCCCACGTTGCTTGCAGCAGGTGGCAGGCAGGCTGCAAATGGATGTACTGGGGTTCAGACCCCTGGCCCAGATCCATGGTGGCAGTGGCTGCACATATACCTCAGGCATCATGCCTTGGATAGCACAACCCTGGCCTCTTTTCCACTGTGCGCCCCAGAACATGATTGTAAAGAAGTCCTCCTACGATACAATGGATTGAACAGCATACTAACTTTCAGTGCAGCTGAAATATATAGATTATCTATACATATTTGTATGAGATAATTAATCGGCATTAGCTGTGCTCTAGGTTAACTGTAGCACAATTCTGTAAATTCACAAGAAGGGGGAAAAAGTCTCACATCACCATTTAAACATTTTTGTTTGCACAAAAATTACTGGAATTTTATCTGCTTTGAAAAGAATTAGAGATACCATGGCTAGAAGTGGGTGAGTGAAATCTTATTTATTACTTGTCATGGAACCTGCACTGCTACCTGACTCTTGTTTGTATGATTTCACCTGTAGCATGGGCAGGATCTTGCTACCCCACTAGCACAGTAAGATTGGGCATGTTATAGTTTGATTCACTAAGTAACGCTTCAGACACTTATGAAACAAGCTATCCCAATGAGCTTTGTACTTTCTCTTTGTTATTTCAAGTAGACATGAAATCCTAGTGAAATGTTATGCAAAGAGAGTGGATAAGGCAGATACACATTTTGCATTCAGTTTATGGTGGGTGAAACAGGGGTAAGCCATCAAGAGCTGTTCTCACTGCTTGGCATCTGCTAGCAGGAACAACTACTATAGAGTACACTCTAGTCCAGGGGTTGTCAACCAGGGGTACGTGTACCCCTGGGGGTACTTGGGAAGGCCCCAGGAGGTACGTGGCAGCAGTGCGGAGAAGCGGGGGGCACTTCCGGGTTCGCTGCAGGCACGTTCGTTTACCCCCTGGCACTTCTGTTTTCGCCACTGCATGCGGAGGAGACCACCCCCACCCCCGCTCGTGGATTGACTGCTGGGGGACCTCTCCCCCTCCACCCTCCCTGCTCATTGGCTGGGGGACTCCCTGCTTCTTGACCAGCTGCTGGGGATACACTAACTAAAAAAGGTTGAAAACCCCTGCTCTAGTCCCTCCAACCCCCAAATACACTCATACAGGACTAATGCTGGAGCTTTGAAAAGGCACAGACAGCCCCCACACTGGAACATGGGACTAGAAAGACCACTTGGGTCAAGGTGTCCAGTCCTTGCATTTTCAAAGAGTCCTAAAAATCATCCACTCCACCCCTTGCATACACCAGAGTCCTCAGACCATCTAGCTTAAAGTTTCTAAGTACCATCAGGAGCACCAAAGCACCCCAGTCAAAGCTCTTTCCTTTAACTGTGGCCAATGTCTGCATGCCTTCAGAGAAAGACACCCCCTGCCCCACACCCCAAGAAGCCACTAAAGGAGACAGAAAGGGATAAAAATCTGTCCTGGCCTCTACAGGCAGCTGGCAGAAACTATGACGCATGGGATTACCAGACACCATCCACACAGTTACATCACAAACCCTACAGGGGATTACAGACACTTGAATTTTGTGTATCACGTGTACTGTTCCCATAAAGGACTAGTCTGTGCCAGAGGAATCCCCAGGAAGAGACATGCATGGTGCTTCTGGTAGAAGCAGGTCAGAGTATTTTTCTCACTATGAATCTAAATGTTGCTGTTAATTTATACAGAAACTGGCTTTTTTTATCTGAATCATAAGGTTCTAAGCGGAAGTCCAGAACAGCAATTTTATTTTCCCAGGGACCACAAGAGGTAACCACCAGTACCACACCACAGCATGGTGAGCCTGCCCTGACACTTTCTTCTGTTTATTGCATGACAGGAAAGATGCATATTCTTTAACTCCTACATGGCTAACACATTTATCCATTTTGTTTTTCAGATTGACTATTTTTATATGTACTTTTAAAGATGACGCCAAAACATGAAAAACAAGTAAGTAACATTTCAACTTTATTAGAGAGGGAGCCAGGTTTGATGACAGATGTGCATAAAATTTTACTCTGCAAAGGATCTACAGGCTGAGAACTTGGAAAATCATTAGATAAGAGCTGTTGCTGTTGTTGGGTAGTTATAATGGTTGTATGACTTTGTATGAAAAAGGGGATGCATTTTTTCCCACTGTTTCATATTACATAGAGAAGTTGTGGAATCTCCCTCTCTGGAAACTTTCAAAAGCAGGCTCTGACACTTGGCTTGGATGATTTAGTCAGGGATGATCCTGTCTTGACCACAGGGCTGGACTAGATGACCTTAAGAGGTCCCTTGCAGCCCTGCTTTCATATGATCCTATGTAGCTTTATTAAGCGTCTTTGCATGCGTGTGCATTGGGATGAGAAATCAGGTTGAAGAGTTTAGGGAAAAATTATGAAGGTCAATAAAATTTCTAGGGGGTCTGATTCAATATTTTGGCAGCAGGA